AAAAAAAAAAAAAAAAAAAAAAAAAAAAAACGACCTCCAATTAGCAATTGTTAGTACACTTCTCCCCAAAATATATGAAAAAATTAGATCTTCCTATTTCACTTCGCAGTTCACCTTTTTTTTAAAAAAATCCCAATTTGTAAAACTTGGTCCTTAACTGTTGAATTAAGAATATTTCCAAAAAAGCTCATCGCTTTCTCACAAAATATTTTACTCGGATACTTCGCAACCACCGCTGGTAACTGAAAACGAGTAATGATCCTCCCAGCACAGCAACAGTTCACAACAGTAGTGAAAACTAGTTGCTTTTGGCTCAGGAAACCAATCAGGTGTATTACTGAACAGATGCCCAAGCCACGCAATCTATCCAATTATAATTTATCCGGAAAAAAAAAAAACTATGCGGGCACTACTGCCTTCTACGACCTAATTCACTTTTGGAATAGTCGTAACACGATAGCCGTACATCTGTTTCAAATTCACTTATTAAGTTTTCTAAGAGCTATGCCGTTTTTAGGAAGATACCTGCTCTCCCAAAATGACTACACCAAAAGAAACTTAAAAAAACTAATCATTAACTGCCAAAAACGCTTACAAGCGCAAAATGTGCGATCTGGAAAGAAATAATAAATATATTCGCGCCTCCAGTAGAATTTAAGAAAAAAAATGCTCTTCTAAAAGTGCTAAATCGTGCAGGTGCCCCAGTGGCAAGCACGAAAAAGTTCCAGTTTTACACCGTAAACTCCTGAGAGCATCACAACAAAACGGTATTCGCTGTCAGCAACCAGCACTAAGCAGTAAGTATTTCTGTTAAATAAGTTGACAAAGAATCAATGCATTGTAAATGCAAAATAAATTATTATAATGTTTCTATAGAAATTTTCTTTTAAACTACTTAACAATAAAAAATTCTGGATCAGGTGTCTTTAAGTCAGTTAGTCAAAGCAAAGCATGTTACAATATAATAATATTTTAGTTAAAACCAAAGCAATGTCAACTGCTGAAATACTGCGTCAAATGAAGGTTTTTCACAACCTAACCGCACTAATCTTATCGTTATTCAAAGAACTATTAAAATACCATCTTGCTATCTCAGTAAGTTACAAAAATATTACACAGGTAGAAACACTTTTCTAAAAACGATTAAAACGCCGTATTTTAAAACAAGATGTTCCCAATCCCTGTTCTCACTTTTACTCCATATGTCTTTTCATACAAACACTCCATCGCTCTCTGGAATCTACGGAAGCTTAGATATTCCTTGTAAATAAGCAAAATTACACCCCAAAAACAACCATCTTAAGCAAAAGTTGCGATTTTTTGCATTTTAGCATCGTTTCTCCGCTATCGCCCTATAAGTCTATAAGATCGTGAAATTTACGAGAGGTCAGCTGGGAAAAGTGTGCAACTTGACATGAAATGATACATTTCAAAACTATGCAGAATACTTTTTGTCCTTCAACAAATGAAAAATTAAAGTCCACTTTACATTTGTTCATCTCGTCTTAGCAAGCGAATTGTCGACCCGGGCTTGAGAGTTAATTCATCGCTATCTTGTGGTTGGTAGTCAAATTTAGACTCAACCAAAATATCACGGTCTAATCCTCTGCCGCCACTGCTGCGAAAATTCACGTCACCTGATACCAAAACGATAAATTAGAAACAGTTTACGAACTGATCATATAAAAAAGTTGACTGCAAGCTTAGCGAGAAAAAAAGAGAAGATTTCGACAGCCTTAAATGTATGGTTTACCAAAGTCAAAATGGTTAATCTTGTTCAGATCTGTTGAAGACTTCGTTCGACGCGATTCATATCCAGGCGTTGGATCTGGCCTATCGGGCACATTGTTCGGAGATGGTGTTATTGGATATGACGTAGATGGCTTCGGTATCGTTGTTGGCAACTGAAGATGACACTAAAACATTCGACAATTATAAGAAGAATAAAATAACACATCCAGTTTTGTGAGTAAAATAATTAATATCTGACCCCCGTTTAGCAAGAAAAAAGGAGGAAAAAATAAATGATGGATTGTGGATAAAGGAGCTGATTACCCTTGAAGAAGACTCTTCGCACTGACCAGTTACCATCCCTGTTGAGGCAAGTAAGGAAATTCAAACTAAGCTGGTCAGCAATTTTGTTCTGCCGAAAAATAGCGTTTAAGTACGCTAAAATGGAAAAAATTCATCATATGAACGACTGAATATAACAATGGAAAACAAAATACACCAAACGATAAAAGAACACGAAATTTTATAAGAAGAAAAGTGGGTTTTTTTGACTTATCAGTAAAAAATACTTTTACCAAATATCGCCAGCAGTAGTCCAGAATAGTATCAAAATATGCAAGCGAACAAGCGCTTGAAACAAAGAGCTAAAAGCACAAAAAACATACAGTCCGCAAATGTTAAGCAGAAAGTAATGCCTACCAAAAAATCAAATGCCGCTACTCGTAAGTCTTCATAAGCCCGCTAATAAAAGCAAGGTTATTATTAGGAAACGAATAAACACTTATTTTTTAAAAAGAATCTCCTTATGAAGAGAAATAAGGAAACACTGAAATAAGCAACTTCCAATGAACTTCCTTAGCGTTCCGTTACTTTCTACTTTTGTTATCCTCAATTTAACTTTTCTCAGGCTTTTTTTTTTAAGGAAAACAGAAGAAAAAAAGGAAGAAAAATGGTCATTTCTGACAAGCGTTTAAATATGAAAAACTGCTTGAGTGAGCTTGAAGGAGCAGAAGGATTATGCTGGCATTCAACATTAATCATTACAAGCAGCGTAAAATTGAACCCAAAAATTTACATTGTCACTTTTACTAGAAACATTTTACTGGTTAATATATAGGTTTCTCAAAGATCAATGAAAAGCAATTAATCAGTTTCAAACCGTAAAAATGCTGTGCCAATAACAATAAATTCATATATGAGCACCTTATCTATCGGCCACTAGCAACAAGAATAATAATATTTATGAACAAAACTCCACTGTTTCACAACAGTGCAAGCTAATAATACAGAAGAAAAAAAAGGAAACACATGAAACTTGCATCCTACCCACCCCAATTCAGTGAAGTGTGCAAGTGTTTACAAGATCAATAGGCTTCAATTTCAATGTATCATTTTTTTAGTGAATAAATACTTCACATAAACCACATAATTCGATCTAAAAGAAAATGACACCAAACGTATTATGAAGTTTGTTTTATCGCAGAAGAAAATTACAGCTGAAAAAATAAGAGGAACACAAGACCTTACTTAGACAATTCTCCACCTAAATAATGAGGAAAAAAGATGGCAAAAAAAACCCCCCTAAAACTGCCTAAATTTTACCAAAAGAAAAAAATTAATGCTTAGTTAATCAAAATCCACGAAATTAAATCATGTAAAGTTATTCTGTTATTCTATAAGGAAAAACAAGAAACTCAAAAAAGATTTTTTGATAGCACAACAAGACAAAAGCTATCGAAATATATGCAAGAAAAAAAGGAGACGGTTATTAATCATTACATTATTAAAAAAATATAATTTTTTACCTCCTTAATAAAACGGCTAACAACAGCAGACTCAAATGCTTCTGAAAAACTAACTTCTCCTCTTCTTTCACACCATTCATACCGGCAAAGAAAGAGCATTATTAACAGTTGACTTCACACCGTCTCTTAGACCTTTAAACGAAAGCACCATTTTGCACTCATACAAAAAGATAAAATACTTTTTTCTGATACCAACGGTTTAAGACTATCTCTCTCTTTTTCTACTACTTCATGGACGTATGTATAACCGGTAACCTAGGAGAAATAAGCAAAAAAAAAGCATCGGAGAAAAAATAAATTTGTACGACAAACAACAAATAAACAAATAAATAGCTGAATAAATAAATTATATAAATTATATATATATATATATATAATTTTTCTGTCATATATATATATATATATATGACAGAAAAAATCACTCCTTTCTAACAACACCGACAATATAATAAAAAAATACAGATTGTACATATGCCTTCATAAAATATACAAGCAGATTTACTTTCAATCTCGGCACGAAATATGTAAAACACTGTAGCACCGGCAATTCGTTATTGGCATTCTTCCAAAACGGTTGGCTGCCGTTATGGACTGCCTGCCGAACAAAATTTAGTCTTTGTCACTGTTGCGAACTAAGCTGTTTCAATGAGCGTCGATCTTTTAAGTTACGATGATTTATTCCTTAGATTATTGAATCGTTTAAAAAAGTGATTTTTCTTAATGAAACCCAAGCATGGCTTTATTGTCAAAAACTCGTCGTCTGCGTTCTTTTACTTCTTTGCTGCTTTCCATTTTTTCACTTGTCTATCAGTAGTACTGTAAATTTTTTTTCAATTAGGCAGCTATTTCAACAGCCTACAAGCAGCTTCATTTTCGACAAAAACGAGAATAGCTTAGCTTAAAACTAAGTAAAAAATACGGCGTATATCCGTTTCATATTCCTTAGTCGACTATAGAACAAAGCTCAACGTGCACTAGTTTTTTTTTTTTTTTTTGCGTTCCAAATATCGTTGGTCTCAACTACACTCTTTGCTCCGTTTTTCCACTTACCACTTTTTTTATCTGCGATTGCGTTGTTTAGTTGTTCCTCGTTTACTGAATTATTTCAGTGCAGCTTAAAGAAAACGAAGTATAAGACTGAAGAAACTATTCGTATTTTTAGCTTCTGATTAGAGCTTAATTTTTAAACTCCTGTACCAACCTATAAATTTATTCTAAACAATTTTTACAGCGTAGACATTACAAGC